AGTCGCATTTGAAAGATTTTTGTTTAACAAAAATCCAATTTGATACTTTAAAAATTGTTCTAAACACAAAAGAGCTCAAAACATCAAAATAAGAAAATACCGTAAATCAAAAAAAGGTTTATTGTTATTTAGTTTGGTTCAAACCTACAAAATCTTCATTGCTTTCACTGTAATTAATTTTTTTATTATTTAGGGAACATTATAAATAGTTATGTTTTTAAAAGAGAAAAAAAACAACAACTACTATTGTTATAAGTAACACATTCAATTGAACTAAACTATGCATGCCTATCTAAATATATTTACACATGGCTTGTGTATATCGTATATACATATACATTATCCATACATTCAGTGTATAGGACGCAAGCAGATTTTAACATCAAATTTTGGGGTAAAAAAGTACATCTTATACACCGAAAAATATGGTAGTTGGTGAGAGGTGGTGTTGACTAGTATCTTAAGGTTATACAATGTAGTTCCATCTCCAAAGTTTAAAATATCCTATTCAACTACAAAGTGAATATAAATTTTTTAACAATTCAACAGCAGTTTTATACAAGTATGATCTTTAAAATCTATACATTTTAAGGCATAATTTCTGATATATCAAAGAAAGGTTTGAAACCTCTCAAATCTTTAAGGCATTTTCCAACTTCATTGCATTTTAAGACATTATTACTTTATTTCTACTCATACTTATTCACAAAAATATGTCTTTCTCAGTAATACAAAACTTAATTTTACTACCAGTATTTGAATTCATTTTTTTTTGCTTTCATCAAACTATGATTTTTCTCTTACTAGATAAAACTGCAATAAATAAACAACCATTAATATAAAATAACTTATACATAAGGAAAGAAGCTTCAATAAAGAAATGCCTGTTTAACTATTATAACAAGTATTACAGCTAGACACTTTAATCCAATATCTAATAGAAAATCACAATGCTGTAGATTCCACATAACCATACTGAGAAATATCAATGTGTTTTAGATGTCCATGGTTCTTTTTCTAGATTACAAAAATGAATAAGTTAATAGAATTTACTCAAAGATTCAAATTAGTCTGCTTTTAATCTTGAGCATTTACTTTTATTTAATTCTGACTTTTCTGTTGATAGAGAAGATCCTTTTCAAGTAATTAGTACCTTTTGACAAGAAATTAAGTTTAAAAGATTTGATATTGTAACTTATCCTTATCTTTAAGCTTCTCAATACAAATGGTAGTATAACCAATGATAAGTGCTCATACTCAAGTAAAAAAGGCTTGACTGTCTAACTACTAACTTTAGAGTTTAACAAGACATGCCTTAAAACTTTACAGTTTTTACTTGTGCTACATAACAACTAGTTTCTATGTATGATGTCATCTCATGACTACAGTGTCAACTACCGACATGACAGGATGCGAGTTCTAAATACTCATATATTCATGACAAGACAAAAGGCATTAAGGTGCTTTCATATCACAGAAACAAACTGTCAGAAAATGACTGCATTATTATTTGTTAAATCTAGCATTACAGTAGAACATAAAAGTTTTATACCTTTCGTGCAACTGGCACTATATATAAAAATTTTGCTCAAAGAGATTATACTGTAGTGATGAAAATCACTGTTTAGGTGACTTACAAAAAATCTGCATCACTCTATACTTAAAAACAGAAACTACTGGGAAACTATAGTTTTTACCTTAGCCTAAGTATTGGTGTGTTCATATTGTGTTAGAAACACAACTACTACCACACTATGACAAAAATAAAAAAAAGGATTCACTCATTAATGGAATATTACGTGTGTAGGCAAGATTAGTGATTGTGTTTTTTACTTTATTTAATTGATCAATCCAAAAGATAGCTTGATAATATTTATAAGAAAATATATCATATTTACAAAAGTACTTTTATACACAAAAAATAATTATACAGTTGTAATGTAGTTAGGAAGTTAATGTATACTTTACCCATAAGAGGTAACCAAGGATGAATCCATGAATGAATTGGCATCGTGTCTGTGAGAGGATCCCATGTGTCCACCTCTTTCTGAAGACGAGGTAGTATCATCTGTTCTAATATATTGGTGGTCATCCAAGTAGGCAGAAGAGGCAACCAGTTTTCTAACAGATCAATTAATGGGTCACATTGTCGAACTATCCATGAGCTGAAAAAGACAAGATGCCTAAAAATGAAAAATGTTTTTTTTTTCATTATATTACTACTCTTTTGGTACTAAATCAAATAAATATATTCAAACACTTAAAATATAATGACTACTGTTAAAACAGGTTTATTTTACTTATATCAAATGTATTACATGGTCAACTTTCAATGATCACTGGTCACAACAGACAAATATTTGATAATATATGCAACTTGTTTATTAACATATTGAATTATTGTATGTTCTAAATATTAAGATAGACATCATGAGAACTGCAGCTCAGCTTCTTAAAGTACCAACCATCCTTCCATGACCTAATTAATTTTAAAATTTAACCACTGTAATCCAATATCCAATAAAATATACAATTTAAAATATGATGGTTGTCACCCTCAAGGAGCTGATGAACTAATCTGTCTTCTAGAACATACTATTCTTATGCACTGTAACAAAAATCAGCATTTTGAATTTCAACAAAGTTACTGGCATAATCAATATCTTCATTTCCTCTTCCACAGCTGCATAGCAGGGTATCCAAAACTCGTTGTAACAGAAGATAAAACTCAGCAATGTGGGTGGTCATTCAGTAATTTCTAGCATAACTTGTAAATAAAGACTGTAAACCTCTTATGAATATGAGAATGCCTACACTGCATACAAAGTTTAATGGTATTCTGTACAGAGCTGTAAAAGAAGTGATTCCACTAAATCAGCATTTGAAAAACACAAAGATTTGTCTCTTGAATACATTTATTTAAACTATGCCCAGAATCCATTTTGCATGACTATGAAATCAAAATTTTTATTAAATAATAAAGTTCATAACACATACAAAATTGCAGTTCGAAGACAGGGCATCCAAACATGCCACATAAGTTGATGGTATGGGTCCATCTCATCATTTAAAGCTGGACACTGGTTAAATCGCATTCCCTTCTCTAACTCTAAGAGATCTTTCCATTTTTTGAAGACATCCATTCCATACTTTGAATCTTTGAAAGGATTCCACGAAGACATATAGCGCTTCATCTACAAATTATTAGACATATCAAAATTAACATTTGTAAAAGAAATACTCATCAAAACATATAAAATTACTAACAATTCATCTAATTAACACGAACTGCGTTCAAGAGAAATGCACCATTATTATATCAACTACCATACCCTGCGGACATCTGATAATCCTAATAACTTCATTTTAATGACTTAAAATCAAACTACCCTTATTCTAATCAATATTGAATCAATACAGTTTTATTATTTTGAAGAATACAATATATATATACATTTAATTGGTTTGCACTTGGAATTATTATAAATAATCTTAAGTGAGGAAAGAAAATGGTAAATTCTCAGGTTACAAACCATGTGTGAAAATGTATACATTACTCATGAACTTACCTAGAGAAATACTACAATGTTTCATGAACTTACCAGGGGAAAGACAATAGTGATTGTTAAATCAGTCAGGTTGTACATCCTGTATTCCTCGTAATAATTCTCTTGAAGATTTTCAAATACTTCAATAACTTCTTCAAGAGTCATTGGATTTTCACAACCCATTTCTGTCCTAGCATGAAGTCTGTTTCCAAAATGAGACAAATTCCATTTTAAGTTTAATCATTTAATTATCTTTATAATCAATTTCAAGCTAATATTGAAACCAGTAAAATAAATAATGTACAAGTAGAAAGAACCCAGCTGATTCAATGTTAGCTTAAGTCTTAAAACCAACAACCTTTTAAAATAATTTTTTCCAGCCTTACTGGTTATTCACAAATGTCCAATAAAACAAAATGCTTTCATAAAGGCATACATAGATATGAAAATATGTTGTAGCCTTAAACATTTGGATGATAAGACATCTCATTATTCAATGGGTCAGGAATGCTGGAAATCATATTTACATTTTCTAGTTGCTTTTTTACATTGCATTAGTTTTATTGTTAATTTTGTATGATGCAACCCCATTTCAAAATTCCTATTTCTCTGACTAGAATGACAAAGAAAGGACTGCAGAGTTTCCAATTACAAGAATTTTTTTTTTCATAATTAAAATGTGATCTGTGCTTAGCCCTGAATATTAGACTATTTAATTACAAACTGACATTTATGCAAATTCAGCAAGTCATGCCATAAAAAGATGATTTTGACAAAAACAACTGTAAACTTAGGTTTAAAAAGATGAGTATCATCAAAATGATTTACATCATTATCCATTTCATACCTCAGAATCTGTCACTATGAATTAACATGGATAAGCATAGATACCATTAATATGGTATACAAAGAAAACCAAATATCACCTCTCAATTTCTTCTAATACTGTTTTCAAGCTGTCAATGTGTTTTTTTTCTTCTTGTATCACCTTGGCCAACCGTTCCTCCTCATGTTCGAGGTTGATCACTCTGTCTTGTTCTCGCTTCAATTCTCGATCATTGTTCAAGATAGTCTGTTCCACAATATTGACCAAAAGATCCAGGTTGTGTGTCAGCTCAGGAAGAGAAAAGTGATGACCACGACCTTTTCTTGTATCCACTGGCTCCTCCTTTTCTTCAGGTTTAGTGTGTTGTTGATGAATTTGATGATAACCTAAAATTCAAGTAAAATAAGAGAGAAATATTAAAAAATGTTTATTTCTCAGAATATGTAAAATTGATAAAAATCACATACACACATACACCAAGTAGCTTATCCAGTTTCAAGACAATACAAGAAGAACCCAATACATTTAAATGAGAAGAGTTCTTCACAAAATAGATCAGGATTATCCCCCCCCCCCCCAAAGCATTGAAATAACTTGATTTGGTACTTTCATACAGACCAATCATTAAAGTTCACATTACTTGCTGGGAATGTTTGGATGAGTGTAAAACGTTTATGAAACTTGAAAACCTTGAGTACTATAGATAAAGTTAAAGATGAATATGAAGGTAACTGTGCCACAACACCTTAAAGTAGAGAAGCAAAGGATAAACTGATCCACATTAACCAATGTGGAGAAGAAATGGGTAATTGTTCCACAACAACTAAAGAAGACTAGGTAACATTTTCCAAATTGAAAATGTATTTCCAAAAATACTTACCTCCGCTTACACTTATAGCTATTACTCAACCACCAGGGTTTTTTTCTTTGCCCATCTGAACATAAGTCGGATTTTTTCTCACTTGTTCAAGTCTTTTTTTCAAATTTGATGCTTGGCTATCCGGTTGGGTTGAGCATGGTCCTTCATTTTGATCAATACTGTTTCAGTACATTGATCATGGAAGGAGATCCACTTTCTCCTTGTAATTTTAAATGTGGAGTTGTCCCATCCTGTGTCTTGGTTGAGCACAGTTGTTCCATGTCCTCTCCATAATTCCAGGGGCAAGTGGAAAGCTCCTTTCCCACTTGGTTGGGGAGTGAAGATGAATTTTCATAATTCCAGACCAGATGAGTTCTGTTCCTTTGGTTGAGTAAGGCATACACAATCCTGTAATTCCAAGTCTGTGGTGTTGCCTTTCAGGCTTCTTCAGGTGGAGGATAAGGTTTGTCCGCTTCAGTGTTGCTTGCTTTCTCGTCATAATTCTGGTGGTTCAGAACACATAACTCTATGGCTACAGGTTGGGATCCAATCAAATGTATGTCTATATATAATGTTATGGTCCAATTGCCCCTAATCACCTAATGTGGGATATAGGGACCAAGACCCTTTAATTCCTATAATGATGATCACTTATGTACAATTCCATCATTGATACAGGAACAAAGTTCAGGGTGAAGAGCATACCTGTTCTGGATGTAGTGTGGTTCCCACACTAGGGTGCCAATCTTCTATTGCCCCACCCATGGTCTATACAGATGCTTTCTGTATGTATAATGCCCTCACCAGCCCATCCATCTTATCAATGTGGGACTCTAGCTATAAGTGTCAGCAGATGATAAGAATCTTTTGGAAGTTAACATTTTCCTAAATTGAAAATGTATTTCCAATAATACTTACCTCCACTGACACTCTCCTGCCCTTCTTCTCCACTAAGAGCTGGTGTTATGGTATCAGTCTCGAAAAAGTGATAAAATGATCTGAATGAGGTGCTTATATACAGTACCAGGATAGAGGGCGCATTGACGTAAGTGGAGAGTATCACAAGACAATTATTGCCAAAGGCAATTGAGTGGGGTATAAAAGACTGGAACATGAGAAAAAAAATCAGACTAATGCTTAGATAGGCACAGAAGAAATCCTGGCGGTCTATTAATAGCTATAAGTGGCAACAGAGGTATGTTTTGGAAGGGTAACTGCTGCACAATAATTAAAAGGAAGAAAAATACAACTGATCAACAACAATTTGTGTATATTTACAGAAGAATTTGATAATGTGAAGCATTTAACTGAGCAGTTTGCAAGCATTTTTTATTTATTAAATAGCGTATCATAAACTCATAAGCTGCAAACATAAAGATTTTTTTTTGAGTGTATTACCAACATCCCGATCATTTAATTTTTTACAAACATTAGAGTCAAAAGACTTAATCTTAAAATAAAGTGAGGACATTTATAATCAGGTAAGAACACTTTCTAACAATAACTGAATAACCAAAACAGATATTACTTGAAATAAAAATTAATACAATTTTTGGGTAAGGGGCTTCTTTTAATGATTATAACATTAAGTAAAATGCTGCTCAGGTCTTCAATTAAACAAAAGATCTCTTAAATTATTAATTTAATAAATCTATATTAAGTTCCAACAACAAACTGTCAGAGGTAAAACTGTACAGAGATTGCAGAGCATGAGGTGGTTGTTTCAGTTTGGAATCTTTAAACAAAATAAATTATTCTGATGGAAAATTTCAAAAAGGATCACATTAATTGAGACACCAAATTCATAGTCAGAAAATCTTTTTAACAACAACAAAAAAAACAGATTTTCCTCCTCCTTTAGAAATACTTTTATTAATATGTTAAAGGTACACTAGACATTTATTTTGGTTTGATTCTTAAAGTAACATCTGGAGCTAATAAATTTGGATTTTTCATTTTGTTCTATAAAAAACTATATGAAGCTTGCAGTATTACAAAAGTTCTTCAACTTGGGCCAAAGTTTAAAAAACAGTTTAAACATGTCTATATTGCTGAAAATTTCTAACTCATAACTACAAGGTTACTGACTCTAGTAACACAGTATGTGCAACAAAGAATCAGAGTAGGAAATGAACAGCCTTGGTTCATACTACTGACAGTCTATCACAGAACGGCCACCTCAAAGCCCTAACACGTCAGGGTCGTCTCACCTGACAGGATTCGCTGTTCTGGCCCTGTCATGTCAATTACCTTCACACGACTTAGTTGACTGGAATCCCCTCGTTGATTCTTCATAGCTCCTTCTGCTGTCACCTCATCAAGTGTACGATAATTGAACTTAACTTTTGGCTTGTCTCCCTATAATAACATTACACAAGTCAAAGTTCATGATTTTGTTGAACTGTGTGTGATTGAATAAACTGAAATACACATACACACATACATTCTACACACATATATATATATATATATATATATAATTTATTAATACACACAAACACATTTAAGTCTACATGATTATTAGGAATCAATTTACTAACACAAATCTGTTTTAAAACTAATGCTTTTTAAATGCAGTGAATCTATAATAGTGCAAGAAGTGAACAATTAGTTTTATCTATTTTGTAAGTAAGTTATATCTAATTTATTCTTTAATGATGAACACATACATATATTTTAAAATTTTTTTATGTGTATATATATATATATATATATATATTTCTTTATTATGAGGACTCTTTTACACTGTTAGCTTAGTACTTGGATTTAGGAATAAGTTGATCAACTGTGTGAGATATTACTGGGATTACGGCCAACATGTCACTTAACTGATCAATCAATATATTATCATCATTATAAGTAAGAATGGTATATTAAATTAGTTAGCCCTATATTAATTACTGGATTAAGTTTTAGTTGTGATCCAGGTAGGTAGATTGCTTTACTCAAAAGTTACTGACAATATTAACTCATACATGTCAACAAGCAGCAACTCTGAATTCCAAACCTCCTTACTACTTACTGAAGAAACTGGTGGTTTATTGTCTAAGGGGTGTTGCAAAATATATCACTTTTTTCCTCCGAATTAATGACAAACTTGGTAGGACTGCAAATATCATCACTCGTAAGAAAACGTCACTTCAACATACTCTTGGGTGTTTGACTCTTTGAATTTCATTTTTTGCAAAAAACTTTTGAATCATGGTGCTCAGTAGAACTCAGGTTCGTGTCACATGTGCTGCCTTCGGGATGGCTCAGAAACTAGTCTTCCAATCGACACATCGCAATGCCAGATTTGAAAAATCCAATTAATGCCTCAAAGGTTTCAGAATTGTTGAATTTAAAAGAATGGTCCATGAAAAAGTGGTGGAATGTGGATTGGAAACTCTACA